AATGGCAAAAACATTTGCATTACTTTTTTAGTGCACTATCATATGAAAATAAAAACCTCACCTCTGAAGGCACTGACATCTCCGTAATGTATTTGCAGCACAAAGTAAGATGTTCCTGAATTTCTTCCGACTTTAAACCCAACATCTGATGAAGAAAGAAGAAAATTTAGTTTAACCCAAAATCTGATGGAGTATGAGGAGTATTAGGGCCACGCTAGAGAATTTGTTAAATGTCATAACATTATGAGAATAAATTTAAAATATTACAAGAATAAAATCATAAAATTAAGAGAATAAAGTTGAAACATTTTGGGAATGAAATCATCCTACTACAACCCGTTTCAGAAAGAAAGCTTGCAGCGTGCATCTTCGATACAGACATAGTTCTTTGCACAATTGTTTCAAAGTTCTGATACTGATAATAACTTTATGATGGTTCGCTAAAAAAATCAATATTTCCTTAAATGTGAAACCGAGGCCAAAGTTTAACTTCACAAGATGCTCAACATTCCTCATTTTAGAGACAGTGCTTCTTGTATTTTCATAAGATGCAACTTTATTCTCATAATGTTACAATTTCATTATTGAAATATTACAACTTTATTTTACATTATTCTCTAAATCTCTAGCCTGGTCCTAATATTGCGTCGTCGATGGAGAACCGATACAGAGAGAGCAGACCCATATCTCTCTGTTAGACAGCTCCTCGCTCTTTCTGCTTTAATCCTGACTACGGCAGGAATGCAAGTCTGAAAGTTTTATTCTGATGTTTTCGATATAATTATCTGTGATATAGATATAAATACAGCTGTTGTTTAGATTCAGATAAAGAGATCGGAACATTTTTTTTAACTTTCGTTTCTCTAAACAAAGCAATTTTTATATCACACATATATATCAAACAATATATAACCTGAAATTTTTTAAAACATTTGAATTATTAAAGTGTTTGACTTACTTTTAGGTAACTTTGTTGGCGGAGCATTTCGAGCCCAGGCATACATAATGGAAGAGTCATCTTCACAAGTACCTTGTACGCTGCCACAGTCCCTAAATAGAAATGGGAAATAATCAACACCACATGTTGTCTAAAAATAATCAGGCCATCGTACTTCAATAAAAACTATGGAAATCGCTGTTTTTAATACAGAACAAAAAAAAAAAAATCAAGATTGTTTTTATATAATTTGTCTCTTTTTTTCCCCCAATCAGATTCAGTCAGAAACAGCACATTTACAAAGCATTGCATAGAAAAGTTTTTGCACATTTCTTTAATATTTTGTAGAAGTCTCTTCAAACTGATGGAAGTGGCACAAAAACTTTGATACCCTCACACCTTCTCAAAATAGTTCTGAAAACTTTTTAAGGTCTCCTTGGTTAAAAACAGTTTTTCAGCTCTGCCCACATACGTATTTTCTACAGATCTTCACTTTGGGCTTTGCTATGCCTGCCCAAAAAAACTTAACTTTGACATCTTCAGGCTCATTATGACTAATATGACAGATATCTTAGGGTTATTGTCGATTGAGAAGACTCATTTGTGGCCACGTTTTAATTTCTTGAATGATGTCAATGCTTAATTCTGTTCTGCTCCATTGCAAATTACTTTACTGATCTAAAAGGAAAATAAATGTTGTAGGAAAACAGGATTTTTTTAACAAGTTGCTGTAGATGCACCTGTAGGCAGGAAGGATCTTCTGTAGTAAAGTCTGTTGTCCACGTAAACACTGACATATTCATATTTCAACAAAAAGCTTTTTTACTATACAAGGCCATCAATTTTGAGGATGAAATATGTGAACGTCTGTTTTAAGCCGTTTTTTCTGACAGAAGTTATTAATTTGGATGTTTGTTTTTTTGTGTGTGTTCTCCTTAGATTTTTTGAAATATCAAATATTTAGAGATCCAGCCAAGCAAAAACTACATAAGCCACCAGAAGAGTACTTGATTTTATAATAAAGAGGTATAACTCAAAAGACTCTCCTGGTCATGTCATCTTTCTATAAAAACACTACTTTGCTATGTTGTTAGTCCTATTTTACCCTTAAAGCTCATCTTTGTTATAGATATTTTACTACCTGTTACCTGCAATGATGTTTCATTTGATCACAAAGCTTAAAAAAAGAGATATGGGCAGGAATATATCATTCTGCTTCATTC